AAAAAAAAAAAAAAAAAAAAAGAATAATGGCCAATACAACAACGGAGCAGGAGACAACGAGCACGATGGAAAACACGCAAGCAGCTCGAGCGACGGGGAAGCCAAACACAAACACAGTATCATAGACTTCATCCACAAGAGCAAACCAGGCTTTTCAGGGAACATTATAATTGAAAATAAGGGCAAGTCGGATTTGCCCATCTATGCCATTGACAAGTCGGACCTGCGCGGAGGGTGCATTCAGAAGAGGAAGCTAAAAGTGAACAAGCTGTTGAAGAAGAAAAAAAGTAGTGTGTGCTCTGGTGGTAGCTGCAACGGTAGCAACAGTCAAATTTGTCAAGCACACGAGTGCTACACCCTGCTGGCCAATGACGAGGGGGAGGACCTATGTGTACGACTCGGAGATACGGACGGAGGTGATGCCGCTTCTGATGAGGATCACAAGAACGTCCACATAGGACAGGTAAAAAAGAAAATGGGAAAAAACAAAGTGGACAAGGCGAAAAAGGGGAAAAAAATTGAAAAATTGGCCAAAGAGGGAAAAGTGATAAAGTTGGCTAAACAGAGCAAATTTGCCAAGCTGGCGAAGAAAAATAAAATGGCAAAAATGGCGAAAAAAAACAGAAAGTCAAAAAAGGAAAAAAGAAATTCCATGATAGGCCCAGGGGGTGAAGACAAAAACAAAAGCACGTTGAGCAAAGGCGTAGCCACCGACGCGAAACAGAAAACCGGGGAAAGGAGAAAAAATGGAATGATCAAGAAAACCATTTTGAAAAAAGGGAAAAGCAAGTCACACGTGACAAAAAAAGTTCATTTTAACCTGAACAAAAACACCATCGAGTACATCCCACGCATAAAGAAGAAAAACGTTAACTCGTATTTCTTTCTCGACAATTTTCGCAATTTGATTAATGTCCCCGCGTTTTTGTAGCAAAAAGGGGGGAAAAAAAAAAAAATAAAATAAATAAAACAACTCACATGACATGAGGTGTGATGAAGTGGCGAAGTGGGGAAATCCCGAGAGGACAAAATTCCCCTCCCAGAAACATGTCCCGTACAGGGCAGCACACGTTGCACGAGGGTTGCGCGCGAGCTGATTTTAGCGAGCCAAGCTAAGCCAAGCTACCCGTCGTTTTGTTTTTCCATTTGTTAATAGGTTTTTTTTTTTTTTAACATTTTGTGTAGTATTTTGTTTACTTTTTTTTTTCACCATTCTTTTGTACCATTTTTTCCACGTTGTGGAAGAGAAGCGGCGACACGTCCCGCCTCGAGCGGCAGCGCGCTAAACACACCCATCCAGAGTTTCACACTGGGTGTAGCAAAAAACTTCTGTTTAAAAATTTTTTTTTTTTTTTTCCCAAAACGATGACGATTGGGTAAATTTGTACGAGCAAAATTTTGTACAATTTTTTTTTTTTTTTTTTCGTTCCGTTGGAATTCCCTCTTTGTGTAATTTCTCCTCTGGAGTGAGGACTGTCAAAATAGGGAAGGCGAGCGAAAAGAAGCAAAAAGAAAAATTAACTGCGTTGGGAATAAAAGAGAGCCAAGTTTTGGTCGGTTATCCAAGCAGCTGCGCGCCGGCTGTACGGAGGAAGCGCGCCAAGGTGTGGTGGAAACATATATTCCATCGCTATAATACCAGAGAAATAAGAAAAAAAAAAAAATCGTTACGGAAAAGGAAACCACACCCCCGTTCTCCATTGAACCAAGCCACGACGTTGGGAAAAGAAGCAACTTGTTGGAGGAACATGCAGAACATAAAAGAGAGTGGAAGCGAAAATGTATTACCTAAAATTATTCCTGAAGTTATTGTTGCTTCTCTTTTTAAGCTACGATTTCATCATTTTGAAGAGCGGGACTAACAAAGTTGTGCATGGGGATAGAAACTTTTTAAAAGAGAGTTACGAATATTTATTCGTCCAAAAGGACATACTCCCATCATACATAAACAGGGACAATCAGATCTCCATTTATTTTTGCAAATCCTGACAATCGAACTATGTGTTAACTAGGATAAAAAAATATTTCGATTTATTAAACCATGGGGAAGACACGGAAATATATTTTGAAGACGATAGTTACCAAGGAGACAACAGTAGCACTGGTAATGAAAAGTATGTCATAGTTTTACGGAACATCAAGGCGGCATTAATTTACCGACTTATATGCCGTTTTGTCCTTTTTATTTACGTCCTGATTGCAGCATGTTTGATATTCCCGCATTATATAAGGCCGTACATACCACCCATTCTGCTAAACCATCCGAGGTTCAATGAAATGTTTGAAAATATGCAACAAAAAAAACTCATGGTACTTGGCATCATGATCTTTTCGTACAATATCATATATGGGATTTTGTGCAACACAAGTGTGATACATGTGTACCAAAACAGGAATTTGATTTACGACGATTATTACTCTGATCATCTGTTTGTGCAGCGCCTCCGTGAGAATATGACTCAACTGCCTAGGTAAGGGACTTAACTTGGTGGACGAGACCAAAACGAATGACCCCCATTTTGGAGAGACACCCCCCCCACCGTGTGTGCACTTGGCCCAAAATTTATAAATGATGAAAATGTCGTAAACCGTCTATGGGGGACATTTTTTGACAAATAAAATTTGGACATGTGCGCGAGTGGAAGTGCTACTCGAAGCTCTGTTACCCTCAAGTTGCTATTTCTGCCAAATGTTCTGTAAAATGTGCCCGAACGAATGGAAAATATAAGGGGAAAGAAAAAAATCCCTCGTTCGCTGTGTAAATTTGTGTGTGCGCTGGACGCATAATTTGTAAAACAACAAAAAAAAAAAAAAAATTATGAACAAGTCATATTTTTTATGCCATTTATGCTTAAAATGTATGACAAAAAAAAAAAAAACAAAAAAGAGACAGCTGTGTGAAGAAAAGCATTTTGGCTATTCAGGCCGTGTCCAATTTGCCCCATTATAGTGGCTGCTATGGTGTAAATGGGGTTAGCAGTCGCTTTGCGGCGCAGGTCTAACTTAAAACAACACATTAAATTTTGTATGTTATGCTTCCTGCCAAATTGGCGGCTTATTTTTTTTGTTCCATTTTTCACCCCCGTTGAGCAAGGGGTTGTGAGTTACCAAAGGGCAATTCTGCGCTTTGCCAAATTTTCACCTGCATGGGTCTTGTAAATAAACGAAAAAAAAAAAAAAAACTTGCAACCATGTTGGAGATTCCCCTGCCTGCTGCGTGCTTCCCTTTTAAAGTATAAAAAAAAAATGAGAAGAAAAAATATGCGCGGCACTACCTGCATTACGCACACGAATATTTGCGGCGGTTCGAACTTTGGCCTGCTTGATAATTTGTGTGTGTAGATCTCAAGCGAAGGAGTGCCCACTGGTAGAAAAGATTTGAGAACGCGCAAGGAAAATAAGTGCATGCATGTGGGAAAATGCTTATTCCGTGGGTGGAGCTATTGCCTTCTCTGGTGCACTTGAAGTGCGTGGTGTGTACGTTCCTAATTTCATGCTGTTTATACTTCCCACTGCATGTTGTTTGTGCTCCTCACTGCATGCTGTTTGCGCTCTTCACTGCATGCTGTTTGCGCTCTTCACTGCATGCCGTTCTAGGAAAGGGAACAAAAATTAAGCCTTAAGCGTGGGAACTGCTGCACGGCGAGGTCTACCTGAGCGAGGTGGCAGGACACGTGGACGTATGCCGAGGCGCTGGCAGAGACGTTTTGCATGCAAGCGCGAAAGCACGTATGCAGGGACTTGTGTGAGCTGCGCCCCCTGTCGAGGAGGCAGAAAGGTGTAGATCTGTACTTGATGGGGTGGAACAATAAGGGCGCACAAGGAACAGCGCGTCACTTGGGGGGAGAATTAAAAACAAGGGGCTGCGTCACGTTTGCACAAATTGAGAGCGCCCCATTGTCCATAGACTAGTTGCCTGGCCTTTCGTGCATGCAAGGTAGGACAAGCAACGAGGCGCGTTCGCTGGTGGGAAAAAGGGGCAAAGAACAAAATGGAAAACAGGAAATAGGAAGGGGGCCGGCCTCCGGTTAATTCTAACTTGTGTTGAAAATGACACATTTGGTCAATTTATTATTTTGTCATTTTATTATTTTTTTAATTTATTATTTTTTTTAATTTATTATTTTTTTTAATTTATTATTTTTTTTAATTTATTATTTTATTTCAAAAAATTAATAAGTTGAATTCAAAACATTTATCACCATTGCCCTCCAGCACCTTCCATTTTGCCATCCCTTGCTTGTCTTGCCCTACCCCTTTTGAAGTAATTTTTTCCTTGCACACTCTGAGGTTTTACCTACCCTTAACAACTTACGAACGCATAGGGGCTTACACAAGTACAAGTAGCTAAGCATATGCCATACCTGCATCGTCATATCACACACATATACACAAAATGAAACTGGCGTGTGCGTTATTCTTGGTGCTTGCAGTAGCAAGTAATTGGGGATCCCACTTTTTCACCTCCTGTTTTGTGGACAATTCTAGTTTGTCTCAACAGACGTACAGAGTTCCCTACCTCCAAAGGTTAAGTGAACTAATTGCCCTCTCACCGTACCAAGAGCTGAGTGACAAAAGGGCAGAAGAGAAAAAAAACTTAAGGAGAAAAAGGGAGGACAACGATTCGCCAAACGTAGAAGATGATTCTAGTGCGAATGATGAAAAAGTTACAAGCGCCTCCAGTAGTGGAGAAGAGGAGGTAGAGAAGGAGAATGAACATGTGAAGAGTAACATTGCAGATGCCCTACAACAGGAAGACGAGTCCAATGCAGGGATCAGCTTAGATGGGAAAAATTGGGAGGACGAGGATGAACACATTGTAGAGGCTAATTCAGCAGATCTCGTGAACAACGAACACGTTGTAGAGGCTAACCAAGCCGATCTGGTGAACAACGAGCACGTTGTAGAGGATAATGCAGCTCCCGCTGAAGACGGAGCATACACACAAACGACGCAGGACGAACAAGCTCAAGATGCCTTTATAAGGTTCTTCTCCCCCAAGCCATGTATTGTCCTCCCAGGAGAGGAAGGATCCGACAAATGTAAAGACGTGCGAGGGGGGAATAATAAAGATTATGACATTAAGGTTACGTATAACGAAAAAGAGGAGCACATTAATCGTGGTGAGAACAAGTGTGTAAACCTTAACATTAATGATGGGTCCCCTCCAAGTAAAGATGGACCATCAAACATTTTCATTAACCTTTCTTTCGTGCCTAATATTCCGGAAGAAATAATAAACGACTTTTACCACATTATCAAAAGGTTGAAGTTCATGTTTGAAGTTATGGAACCTGAGGAGAATAGTGTGCCGTCGGAGATGGCAGGAAGTGCACAGGAAGCGAAAGAGGAAATGTTGTAAAAAAGTGGCGCCTTACATGTGGCGGCCTTGCGTTTTTTACACATGTATTGTGTGTGCCGATTAGCTTTGGCTCATTGTATTTTACGCTAAAACAGAGTGGCACAAGGGGATTGGGGGCGCAAGCGGGTTTTTGTACACCCCCCCACGGTTCTGTTAATAACCATTTTAGCTGTTTCTAGCGTGTGCCAATGCTACGCACAAAATGTGCACACATGCGAAGGCAGCATATGCACAGTTGCAGAAAGGGTGGGGCGTCTCGCCGTTAACCTTTTTCGCCTCTTTGCTTTTTTTTTTTTTTTTTTTTTTTTTACCCGTTCGTACTTTTCCACGCGAAGTAGGACAATTATATATATGTGTGCAAACTAGCGGACGTGCAAACCCTGCACCTTTTAACTCAGCTGTTCTGGCTCCAACAAATGTGAGTTCAGAGTTTAGGGTTCCTGTCGGATAAATCTTCCTTGTGCACACATCATACCCATTTTGGGTGGAAATTGCGTCAAGTTCCCTTTGGGTTGGAGCTTCATGAGACACAAAATCTAGGTGGGCTAGTCTAACCTATCCCACTGTAAGTTATACCCTGCCCTCCCTTTACGAAGAGGTGTGTCACACTCTGGCGCTTTATGCTACGCTGGGTGTTGTGGGGTGCAATGGTATAAGAAGAGCACAACGCAAATCGGTGCACAAGTTGAATGCACGTACAGGTAGATATGGCCTGTTTCCGTTTTTCCCGGGCAAGGCACTGCACCTCTGCAGGGGTGAGCTGGATAGGTTGCGCCGTGGGTCGGAATAAAGAGAGTTCCTAAAAGGGGTTTCACAAAACAAGTAGGAGAGAGGCTTCTTTTGTGGGGTTACTTTTTGTTGCAGTAAGGCTTCCTGTTGGGGTGCTTTTTTTTTCTTCCGTTTGTAAGGTTTACATGGTCATGCACGACGGTTGGCACAGGGTCGCATTCTATGCACGGGTGTACGTGTAATTTCCTCGCGCATGTATAGGGTCGCTGCCTGTGTTAGATAATTTTGAAGGACTCTCTCCTCCCCACTGTCCCCTGTTCCCAAAGAGCGAGCCATCTAGAGTATTTTTTTTTTTTTTTTTTTTTTTCCCTCTTTTTCCTTCGTGTGTACGAACATTTCGATCTGAGAAAATAACTTTGGCAGCTCTGCTTAACTGGTCATTTTGTTTTCCAAAGGGAGGTAAACTAAACGTGAGGAGTTTGCATTAAGTACGCCTGGGTTAACGTATGTAAACAGCATACACGTGGGAGGAGAAAACCTTTTTGTTTTTTTTTTTTTTTTTGCCGACGCTCCACAGTAGATGGTCATCCCTCCAATCTGTAACCTAACCGTTAAGAGAGAGACGCAAAAAAGGAATTCACCCCTGAAGGGGGAAGCACTTACACAGAAGACGAAGAAGAGGAAGGAACGGTGCCAAGGTGAGGAGAAACAACCTAAGTGAACGTCTCATGGAAAGAACGCACTTGTTGAAGTAGTTTTACAAGGCTTCACATAAAAAAAGAAGAAAAAAAAAAAAAATTACTCACGTGGAGACTGACATTCCCCACCCCCCAATTGATGAGTAAAAGAAACAAATAAAAAACTGAAAAATGGAAGAAGAGAATAAGGTATACAAGCTCAATTGAGTATCCTCAAATGTGAGAGCCCAAAGTGTCTTGGCGTCTCCGCCATAGGGATGTGTCGACCCCCGTGGTGGTACATATTTGTGGTTTCGTTTAACGTCCATTTGTGTGACTGTACTAAAAAAAAAAAAGAGAGCAATGTGTAACGGTGAGTTAACTCCCACAACGATACAACTGTGAATTTACAAGGGTGCGTCGAACGCGACTCCGTTTCCCCTTTCGCAGCTGGTGGAGAAGATGATCGAGTTCGGCTACTCCAAGGAAATCAGCCTGAGGGTTATAAAGAAGAGCCGTGCGAAAACGAGTAAGTGAGCATGATCCTCATGCGGCACGTTAGGGCCGCTTCCCTCCTTCAGACTTACTCGTTTGTCACCCCCCCTCCACACACACATTTCTGCCTACAGTCGACGAAGTGCTTAACTGGATCGAGCAGAGCGAACAGAATGGAGGTGAGGGAGATGCAGGCACTCCTGATGAACATTCAAACGATAAAGACGAAGGGCAGAACCCGTCCCACACAACAACAACCAGCGCGAACAATGGTGAAGGGAAAAGCAAACTGACCCCAGAAGAAGCACAGAAGAAGGCAATTGAACTACAAAAAAAAATAAGAGAAAAAAAAATGATGAAGGAAAAAGAAGAAGAAATACAAAAAGAAAAAAACAGAATTTCTATGGCGAAGGAAGTACAAAAAAGAAGAGAACAAATGGAAGAATTCGAAAGAAAAAAATATTTAGAGAATTTGGAAAAAGAAAAAAATGAACATAAAAAGGAAAAAGAAAAACAGCTTGAATTGTTAAGGAAAGAATATGAAGCCAAGTTTGGTATCGCATACCAAGCACAGAGTGAAAAAAAAAAGAGCATAAACGATTTGACTGAAAATGAAAAGCGTGAGGAAATAGCAATTCTGTTGAACAGATTAAAAAATAAACACAAGGACAAGAAAAAGGAGTTGCTTAGCTCGCTAGCCATTTTGAAAACGTACTTTGTTAACATCAAGGATAATATATTGGAGAAGAAATTTCAAAAGATTAAAAAAGAGAATAAGGTGTTCCTCGAAAAGATTAAAGTGTACGAGGAGATGCTGCAGGTGTTTTTGCTCGTCGGCTTTGAGGACACGGGTGAGACAAGCGCAAAAGCAACAAACGCGCACCCGTGTGGCATTGTCTGCGTCCAACACGTGAAATGCAAAAAGCTACTCCCTTATAGCCAGTTGTGTGTAGCTGTCTCACCTAACCAACGCAACACCTCTCCCCCCTCCCCTCGCAGGCGATTTTTACGAAATTAAAAATTTCCCACACACGTACCTCATCGCGTCGGCCATCAAATTCATTGATTTAATTATGAAGACGTTGAGTTCGTAGGTGAGAAAAGGGAAAAAAAAAAAAAAGGGAAAAACAAAAAAAATATTTTTCAACACTTAAAAAAAAGAAGCCCCCGGGTGCCTAGCAAGGGGGCACATATATATATACAAACACATATATATATACAAGCTAGTACGCATGTGCGTGTTTTTCGCAGCTACGTACAAGATTACAAAACGCCCAGCGCTAAACAAAAATTGAAACAACCTCACCCGCATGTAGCCACGTTTTCCGCCTCAGTGCTCAACCACGTAAAGATTCAAAAATGTTAAAATGGGAAGAGCACAAAAAAAAAAGGAGGCAAAATGTAAGCTACGAGAATAATACATTTAGTTGGAGACCAAATGAACACGTCGCTCAAAGCTACCGCTATTTTTGTGTGGAAGATCTATCCCAGCTGCAAGGCACTACTAACTCCGCTTCCCCGTGTCTTCCCCCTGTTTACAAGTGTAGCCTTTGCTAGCGACCTTCTCCATGCAACGACTGACTTAACGGTGTGTATACCCAAGAGACCAACAAGACATGGGTGAGGAAATGAAAAAAATAAATGTTTTCACTTTGAAAGAAAAAAAAAATTTTCGAGTACAACTTGAAGTATATATATAATAATTCTTTTTTATTTTTATAGCTGAAGGAATTGTACGCCTCCAATAGGCAAATGTTCATTTCTTTTTTAAATTGAATCACTTTTTTGTACGTGAGATATTTCAAGTTTCGTATGTCCGTGATGTTGTTTCGCTGCGTGGGGGTGGAACAGGGTGCGTGTGTGTGCGTGCGTGTGCAAGCGTGTACATATGTGTATGCGAATGTAGGTGTGCGCACGCATGTTTCGTTGCTGTCCACTTTCATTTCCCTTTTTTTTTTTTTTTTTCTCTCTGCCCTCTTATTCCTCTCCTGTGCGCGCCGCTTCCTCTCGCTGGCCTTACGATGAATAGACACTGGAGCTTCTTTTTTATGTGCACGAATTTATAATTGTGTAAAAAGAAAATTGCCCTTTTCAAGTAATAGAAGGAGGCATTCCTTCTGTGCATGATCTTGTCCTCATAGTTGCTGCTGCCTGTCAGGGGGGGGGAACGAGGTAGCTATTACACGGGTGCACGCGGTAGCGATGGAAGCGATTACACGGGTGTATTTTGCCGGTCGCGTGCCCTTGCCGCTTCACCACGCCGCCCCTCCGTAGCTGGTTTTCCCTCGGCAGGCACACCCCCCGCAACTTACCTATGATGCCATATTTGAAAATTCTGTACAGCAGGTTCTGGTGGAAGAAATTATTCCGCGTGATTATTTGGGTGCACTGCTTAACAATTTTGTCGTTTTTTAAAAATTGGGGATACTTGTTTTTGAGGTACTTGAGGAGCTTAATTCCTATTGCACATAACACGAGGAGAAAAATTACATAAACGCATGAACGGATGTGCTTGCTAATTTGGTACGTGAATGTCATTAGTCTGACGGTAGGTTTTTTTAAAGGGGGGGACATATGCGGGGGAGGGGGGAGTAGGCCTTGGCTTCGCAGTTGCAATACGTTCGCACGTTCGCTTTTTTTTTTTTTTTTTTTTTTCTTTTCTCTTCCGTCTCTTTTTCTGATCGCACCCCTTACACTACGCAGTCGTTCCTCTTTGGCCAATAGCGCCGTTCTGTCGCAAGTGCGTGCGGGAATTTACGGCCGGCACATTTCTCTCTCTCTGTCCCCATCCGCCTCCGAGGGTTCCGTCCTCTTGTCTGAAACGCAACTACCCGTGTTGAAAGGTAACCGGGCAAAAAATTAACGAGCGAATTTGGAAGTCGCACTAACAAAGAGGTGTAAACAAACGAGGCGTGGCGATGAACGAATTTTTGTATCGCCGTTTGCTACTCCTCCTAGGCGAAGTGCTCCTGATCGGCTGCTTCACTTAGCATACGGCCGTCGGGTTGTTCCTCCTGGTGGCTAAGTCTGAGTACAGCGCAAACGTGGCGAGCGTGGTGTGTGACTCCTTTCCGTGTGTTATGTTATATATTATGTTGTGTGTGTGCATGTGCCTGGCCAGTTATTCTTCTCCTTCCTTCTGCCACAATTTTATCACGGTTGTCAGGGTTGTTACTACTGTAACTTTGTTTCGCGTTTTCACCTTTTGTCACTCTTCTTCACTTGTTCTTTTTAAAAAAAACTTCTTCCCTCATTTTATACTACCTTGTTGCTTTTTTTTTTTTTGTTTGTTTTTTCCTATATGTGTTTAATTTTTTTTTCGCTTTGCGTTAAAATAAATTTTGTGGGCCAGGGATGTATTATGTCGCGTCATCGATTTGGTTACGCGAAAATTTAGGCATCGGTTTTTTTGTTTTTTGTGTTTTTTTTTTTTTTTTT